GCTCAACGTTGGAATTGAACGCTTCCAAATCGGACATAAGCGCGTTGTGTTTTTTCAGAAGTGCCTAAAAGCATACGGTAAAGAGGCGATCGAACGCAGAGCGGTAACGGTCTGCTTTCTCCACTAGCCAAAGGAACACCAACAAGAGACAAGACAAAATAAACCCAAGCCATGTTAGCCGTGTCATGTTCGGTGTTCAGACATTCGGTCATATGGTCAGTCGACCATACGGCCAGGCCGAGGAATCTTCACATCTCCACCTACCTCAGAGGAGTCCTCGTCTTTGCCGTAGTCAGTGCTGCCAACGATCGGCTCCTTTTCGCGCATCCAAGATTCGGCCTCGTTTGCATCCGCCAAGTATTGATGCGCAAGATAGGAGTCTTCCAAATCTTGACGTCTTCTTTCAGCTTTGCTTTTCAAGTTCTGCCAGCTTTCCTCCAACAGCTTTACTTTTTGCTGGATTTCGCTTGACAAGAAATGTTCTACAAATAAGTCAAATGAACAGCACTGGCGTGAACGACGGTAACCAACCATGTTTGACCATTTCCTCGCCGCTGGAAATCACCTTGTCAATTTGGCTTTCATGATTCGATATTTCAACCATTAACGCTTGGTGCTTTTTGATCAGGTTCTGAACACCGATTAAGTCGTGCCCTAGTAAAACAGACAACAATTAGTGACAACCTAAGATGAATCCTCAAGAGTATCCTCGCCGCCCTATAGGCAGTAACTTAGTGTACCTCAAAGATAAGTATTTTTACTGTTAATAAGCTTGCATTGGATATCAAATGAGGCGTTTTTTATATTCACTACCACGCTAAACTGAAGGTGCGGGTCTGATAAAAACATACAAACAAGAAGTGAGAAGCAGGTCACTAGCAAAAGTTGGATTAAAATTGCATTTGCATGGCTCTTGAAACTTTTTTTGATTAGAGCTACGTTCTATACTGTAATTAACATACCGCACGACAATCAATCACAGAACTGTTTACGCCAACTTACACAGTTTGGCAATCAGTTACTACTTTTCTCCAAAGCAATAACCTGTAACGGTATTTCGACCTAGACGTACTACGATCGATTACTGTCATAAGCTCCGTGTTTAAGCAGACGTTGCAACATGCAACGGCTGAATAGTACGCATAGAAAAAGAAAAAACTGCAATGGCAAAGTATATTCGAACACAGGAAAACTTCGCCAACTAGTCGAAATCGATATGCACGTGAACATACCTCGATTAGACGACGAGGCGATTTGCTCTTTCTCCCGAATCCATGTTAACTCGTCCTCGATGTCTCTAAACAGCTGATGACCAAGCAGCGATTCGGAAAGCTTCTCCTTGCGGCTGCATAGCGGCTCTTGCAGGTCACTGAAGCGGTTCATTAGGGCATTTGCCTTGCTGCGAATCGCAGCAGCATCGAAGTGACCACTGTCCTCGAACTGATGTGCCTGTTGAGAAACGCCGTCTATGCGTTCCTGATGCGCGTTGATGTCGCTCTCGAGCAAGTTGTGCTTCTTCTGCAGATTCTGCACCGATATAAGGTCTTTGCCGTAATCCTCGGAAGTCAGCTGAGCCTCGATCTCGCTCAGCCACATTTCGATGTCTTCTATGTTTCGGTTGAATTGTTGCTGCGCGCCGGCTTCCTGCAATTTTGCACCTTTCAAATCGGTAGCGACTTCAAGCTTCTCCCATGAATCCTGAACCTCTTGCAGGCGATGCCTATGGAAACGCTTGGTTATTACAGCTTCCTCCACAACGACAAGAATACGACGTACTTTATCTGGTCAGAGGCGTAGTGCTGACTTTCGATCAGTTCCTGTCCAGTGTTCCGTATTTCGTCCAGTCTACTCTTGTTCGCCTTGAGTTCCTGCTCGAAATTAACATGTTTCTGGATTTTTCCTTGAATGTTTGTCGGGTCCTAAAGAACAGCGAATGTTAAATAACGATACACAGGGAGTAAAAAAGACACAACGCACGAGGTAGCTTTCGTCCTTCGCTGTCTTCAGCTTCTCGTTCATCCAAGACATAATTTCGTCGCAGTCGCGCTCGAATTGCTGTAACCGGTAGGCGTCCTCTAGGGTAGCCCTCCGACGATCGGCTTTGTCCAGCAGTGACTGGCGTCTTTGCAGCAACTTAAGCAGGAAAAAAATTTAAAACATGCCAGATAAAAAAGAAAACGCTTTACAGCATATCGCCTTTCAGAAACATCATCTGCGGCGTAATGTTGTCCTTCGATGAGCTTAGTAGCGAACTCATCCAATGCCTTGATCTTTTCTTCCTGCGCGGCCAGCGACTTTTCGAAATCTTCGTGCTTCTTAATCAACGCCTCCACACTGTCTAGGCTCTCACCCAAATCCATGTTTGCCAAGAAGGCCTAAAATATCACCATCATAGAGATTTGACACATTTCTGACGACCCGTAACTGAAAAATTAATGAACCTACTGTCACGTAGATAACCTACTACAAAGAACAAATGTACTAATACAAATTTACTGTCACGTAGATAATAACACCTTCCCGATTGGAAACTTACGCTCTTTAATATCGTAGCCATATGTAATTCTGCAGTGGCTAACTGGTGGAACTTATCAGACAGTCGGGCAAGATTTATTATCCAAAACTTGGTGCTTATCTTTTAACGCCAATACAAATAGATGGTCAGACCCAACCTTCAGTAGTTCTCAAAATCGGGTACCTCCTGTTTCGTCATCCACGTCTCGGCCTGGTCGGTGTCACGATA